ATCATCATATCTAATATTTTATTAAAATCAATACAAACTATTATATTTATATTTATCTTTATATTATTACCATATAACATGTTACAGGATTAATTCATTTTGATCATTAAATATAATATTTCTTTAATAAAACTAATAAACTCAAAATAAACCATAAAATTTATTATTTGATAAATATACAAAATACAAATCAACTTTTTAATATAAACCCTATTATATTACTTAAAATATATATAAATAATTACTGAATAATGCAATAATTATATTATAACTCACTAACAATACCAAATTACCCTAGTTTTATCATAATATTGAGTAACGCTACTATTATTAGATGGGCGTAAGATCCTAAATGTTGTACTATATTGACAGAAAAAAATAAATAAAAAAAAAATAATTTTATTATAATAATAGGCTTTAATTTTATCGCCATTACAAGCACATTATTTGAAGAGAGAACTTATTTCTCGTCATATAAGACCTGATATTCTATCACTTCACAATATGGAGCTTCAAAAAACTTGGTTAGCCTTTTAATGATTATTGTGTGGAAACTTATTATCCATTTTTTTAGTTTCATATTCAATCGTTTTGTATGTACTTTTCTATTCCCTCGCAATTCTGATTCTTACTTTTTACAAGGGATGAAACAACTAAGAGGAAGAAATTGAACGAAAAAAATTGCCAACGAATTTCCATTATATTTTAATTCTGGCTTAAAACGACTCTGGGAAAAGAAGAATCAATTAAAGTTGATTTTTCTCGTATTTAATATCAAAAAAATCAACAATATCCATAATAGGATGGACTGTAACATTATTCTGTAGAAGTTACGAGTGAAAAAAATGTAAAAATTAAAAATATGTTTATATGGAATATCTTTCAAACAATACACGTTTACGCTGAAACGTCATAAATATTTGAAAAGTTATCTACTAAAGTAAGTTATGTTAGTCTTTAAAATCGCACAAACGTATAATGTAGTAATTTTTTAACCTTTTTCGGAATATCCAAAGCAATTAATATAATACAACAAACTACTGTTATATTAGTAATGATATTAAATTTATTGAAAATGAAATAAACGATTATGAAGTATGTCAAAAAATTACGAAATTAATTATACATTTTTAGTAAATTCAAACAGAAAGAAATAAAAGGAGAAGGTACACTTCCCTACCAAAAGTATTGGACCACCCTAAAAATTAATAAAAAAAATAAAAATATCAGGTTTTTGATAATAAAAGTTATAACTATTTTAAAGTTTAAAGTGCAAAATACTATTTAGAAGTATTTTTTTCATGCAATTAATAGTAAAATTTGCAAATATAGTTAATTTTCAAAATGGCAAAATTCTTAACTCTTTAATCAGAGCATTTGTGGTAAAATAAACAGCAAAAAATGGTTCTTTAACTAAAAATTGGCTTATGTTCAAAAAATCAGAAATATTGGATTGGTAGTTATTAAGAAATCCACTATTGAAAATCCTTAAAATCCAGCTAAAATTGATGGTTTATTACAATTTATTCATAAATTTATGATTTTCAAAAAGTAAATTTCTTAACCACCACCAATCCGATCTTTTTAATTTTTGAAACATAAGCCATTTTTTAGTCAAAGAAACATTTTTTGCCATTTATTTTACCATAACTGCTCTAGTTAAAAAGTTAAGAATTTTGCCATTTTGAAAATTAACTATATCTATAAATTTTACTATTAATTGCGTAAAAAAAACACTTTTAAATAGTATTTTGAACTTAACTTTAAAATAGTTATAACTTTTATTATCAAAAACCTGATATTTTTATTTTTTTTATTAATTTTTAGGGTGGTCCAATACTTTTGGTAGGGGAGTGTATGTGGAAGCAAAATCATTTGTAAAAAAAATTATAATGCGAATCATTTATTTATTATTTTTTCCTCCAGATATCACCTCGTCCTTGCGATATTACAGTATATAGAGACTTTTAACCCTGAGGTCTCATTTACCGGAACTATCAACAATGTTAAGATAGATAGTACAAGTTTATTAAATGATCTCTTTGCTACGCTCGTCAAAGAGGCAAAGAAATTTAATCGAATTACTGTTTCAGGTACAGTGTTTATATTTAAATGTTTTCTCAAATTTTAACACTTTTCTTTCGTTAATAAGGGAATCAGTGGAATATTTTAAAGAAATCATTGCTATTTTTGTGAGCATTTGACAAAATTTATAAGTAAGTTTAAGGTGAATATTAATCTTTCTACATATTAAATAAGCATATAATTCACCTTTTTTTATATTATTGCATTATATAGGCTGCAAATATATCTGATTTTTTGTCTAGTCTTTCTGAATTTGTGGATGACTTAATTAATGTTATCAACGCTTGTTGGGTACAACTAGTGTATTCAAATGCCATTTGATGGAATACTGATTCCAAAAGTGGTCGAACTGTATCATATTCTGATTAGTGGGTTACAGCGGGCACAGGTTCGAAGATGCTGATCGAAAGGCACTTTTCTTTCAATTTTAAATTATTTCAAGCATTGTTATATATAATCCTGCTGAAATATTTATATCTCTTGTGCATCGTTTATTCGTCCATTCGGTTTATTCATATGATTCAACAGGGATTGAAGTGTTGAACCACTATTTGATTCATGCGGAATGGACTAGCTAAACCAACAATTGATCGATACAATGTTGACAATTGAAGAACTACGAAACACATATCATAAATGAAATAAAGAGTCTAATGATATTATGTATGATACAATGATAGTGGTAATAGTAGTGATTCCTGGTGATGATTTTGTGGGAATTGCTTATGATTATGATTTAGAAAGTCAATATAAAAACGATGATTTAGAACAGTGTCAGATTCAGTTTCTATGATGGAGAGATGGAATTCCATGAATAAAGTTATACCAAATTATTTCTTTCGTTTGCAAAGTTGATAAGCAGTCTTATTAATAATAAAAAATTGTTTATATATTGTTAAATTTTAATTTTACATTTTATTTATTAATTTATAACACTTGGCGTTTGAGTATCAATAATACGAATTTACACATTTTTCTAATAAAACAATGGTGTTCTCCCATTTCGCAAAAGTGAAAGTTAAAACATTCACCAGATATGTTCGTGGTTATATACTAATCGTAATGTCTTTCTACTTGCTTACAATATGTTCCTATCGAAGAAAACACTGCTGAGTGCAGACAATTGTGAACAGATTTGACTTGTTTCATCTAACATTGATTCGCCAAACGCTAGCAACTGCTGAATATACGTACCAAAGCAAGAAACAAGGTAAAATCCATTATTTATTTATCTATTTTATTTAATTGCAAGATATAAATGAAGATAAATCTTGATGAGCTCAAATGCCTTTCGGAGATTTGTTACGGCAAATCTTAAGCAATATCTGAAGGAATTTACTCAATTGGCTCATTATGGCCAGCAAAGGATCTTAATTCTTTTAAAAGAAATCTCAAATTTTTTTCAGTTGATCAAATTGTTGGCTATTAAAATTTGTTAACTAAGTAAAATTATTATAGAGATTTTTTGGTAATTATTTTTAAAAGAAGAAACTAGAGTCATACCCTAGGGCCGGTGACCAGCCCTTACTAAGAGTAGGATATATACCATAAATTTTAACACTTATTTGCAGAAACAATAATATTGGTAATAAATAAATAATTTAATTTATTTTTTTTTGTATTTTGATTCAATAATTTTGTAATTGGCTTTAAAAGAAGAAATATTATGATTTTTTTTAATTTATAAAAAACATTTAACAATTTTTTTTAAAAAAAATTTTTCAGTTTCTAACCATGCTGTAGTAAACTTTTTAAAAATTTTATATAAAACGTATATTATAATTTATATTCATATTTAAAATAAAATTATTCAATAAAATTTATTTCACACAATCAAATTTGGGACAATTCTATGTCCACATTTTTTTTTATTTGTGTAATATATATAATTTTTTTTAATAAATCAATTCATGTAATATATTTTAATAAGTAAATTCATATAATTTTTTTTTGATAATTAAATTCGTATAATGTTTTTTAATAAATAATTTTTTTTTTAATTTAATATAATAATAATGCTTTTATTTTAATAAATAAATTCATATAATGTTTTTTTTAATAAATAAATTCATGTAATGTTTTTTTTAAAATAAATTTGTATAATATTTTTTTAGTAAAAAAATTTAATAAATTCGGGTATATAATTTTTTTAATAAATCAATTCATGTAATATATATTTTAATAAGTAAACTCGTTAATTTTTTTTAATAATTAAATTTGTATAATGTTCTTAAATAATAACTAAATCTGTATAATGCTTTTTTTTAATAAATAAACTCATAATGTTTTTTAATAAATAAATTTATATAATGTTTTTTTTTTAAAATAAATTTGTATAATATTTTTTTTAATAAATAAATTTAATAAATTCGGGTATATGTATTTTTTTAACAAAATAACAAAATTCGGATGTATATATATATATTAATAAAATTTGGATATACATATATATATTTTAATAAAATTTGAATATATTTATTTTTAATTCGGATATATATATTTGGGTAACATTATTTGGCGACCTGTCATGACGACCCTATCACGTAACGTAATAAAATTTTAATTGGCTGATTTTTCATTTTTGATCAGTTAATTTTTAAAGAATATTTTATTTACAGTAAAATTTTATTTGTTAAATACAATATTAAAACTATAAAATTATACACTTAGTGGATTATATTTTATTGATTAGAGAAATAAAAACTAATAATAATGGTAAATAGTTATAAAAAAAAAAGAAAAATTACAATGATAAAATGAAAAAAATGCTAATAAATAAGCAAAAAAAGGAAATAAGAAGATATAACATTAATAATTATGAAAGAAAAAAGGAAACAAAAAGAAATGACATGGGATAAAAAGAAAAGAAATGAAAAAAAGTGTAAAAAGGATAATAAGGACAAAAGGAAGTGTAATAAGATGATAAGGATGAAAGGGAAGTGAAAGGGAAATGTAAAAGAAGTGAAAAGGCTGTTAGAAGATGAAAAGAAATTGATAAATATGATAGTGAATGAAAATGAAGTGAGAAGGAAGTAAAAAGGATGATAGGAGATTAAAAGGAAGTGAGAAAGATGATAGTGAACGAAAATGAAGTGAGAAGGAAGTAAAGGGGTGATAGGAGATGAAAAGGAAGTGAGAAAGATGATGGTGAACGAAAATGAAGTGAAAGGATGATAGAAGATGAAAAATAAGTGAGAAATATGATTGTGAACGAAAATGAAGTGAAAAGAAAGTAAAAAGAATGATAGGAGATAAAAAAGAAGTAAGAAAGATGATGGTGAACAAACGGGAAGTGAGAAGGAAGTGTAAAGGGTGATAGGAAAAGAAAAGAAAGCAAAAATAATAATGAAAAATAAAAGAAATAAAAGGATGATGGAGAATAAAAAAGAAGTAAAAAGGTGAAAGAAATAAAATAATAAAGGGTAAAAAAGAAGTGAAAAGAATGATAGAAAGACGAAAAAAAGTGAAGAAAAAATAATCAAAAACACCACCCATAAAAAAAGGAACAAAGAAATGACTGGTTAGTATTATTTCAAATAAAATGAAAAAGTAATAAAAACAGAAAGATATAAAAAGTAATAAAGCAAGAAAGACATACATCAAATAAAAAGAAGCCATCCCATTATCTAAAGAAAAAAAATAAAGTTAGCTTTAATAATAAAGTAAAGAGTCATTAAATACAATAAAATAACAAAAAAAAAACAAAAAAAAATTGCCTTAAAAAAAAGTCATTTTCAAGCCAAAATAGCACTGCAATAAAAAAAAAGGAAAAAAAATTATCGTTATCTAATAAACAAATAAACATTTATCAGATGACGCGATGATCATGTTTGTGTAGCCAATCAAAAAATATAAATTTATTACATAATCAGGGTCACCATGTTGCCTTTTTTATAAAATTAAGATATATTTTTTTTATATATATTTTGACCTTCAATTCCTATTATAATCACAAGAATTAGCCTCCTGAACAATGTATATGAATAATAAATATTTCCTTGATGTTAATATATAGTTAGCTCTTAGATATTTGGCCAGTCAATTCATAATTCCTTGATAGGGATGCCAAAAGTTCGGTTATAACCGATTATAACCAGTTTTTATCAGTTCGGTTACGGTTCGGTTTAAGTCCAAGACCGACTGGTTAACCGTCAGTTTTATATATAAAAAAAACTGACAAAAAAACTGATCAGTTAATCATATATTCCAAAAGAAAAAAATGTTTCTTTCGTTAATTATATTGAGAATACTATTAAAAATTATGATTTTGGTGTTTATTTATATATATAGTATTCTTATTTTTGAAATAATAAGAAAATTTTTTACGCGTCGATCACGTGATTTTTCGTTCTGCTGAAAAAAATCGCAAAATTGACATTATTATCGTAAAAAAAAATTATAATTTTAAGGAATATTATCAAATAAAATTATAATTAACACTTTCTAACATTAGTTCATTCAATTTTGCAGTAATTTTGCGATCGGTTTTGCAATTCGGTTTTATCGGTCAGTTTTGCAGTCAGTTCGGTTTCAGCTGAAAACCGCGGTTTTAAAACCGAAACCGAACCGAACCAACCGTTGGCATCCCTATTCCTTGATGTCAATATATGGTTAGCTCTTGGATTTTGATCAACCAATTTCATGCTGCAAATCATGATCAATTTTTTTTTTTTTTTATATAAACGACCATGTTCGTAATATTGAACTCAATATCAACTCAATATCAATACCAATATCAATATCAAGATCACCTGATATCATTAACTATATAGCGTGATCTGTATATGGTGTCAATTAGATGTGAAATTTTCTTATCAATCTAGTTTTTTTTTTTTGATATGACATTATTTAAAGGTAAGAAAAATTCTTGTCAATAAATGTAAAAATAAAAATTCAATTTTATCAAAGATCACAAAAGTTCGAACAATACTGTATATACAACATGTTACAATTAGTTTTAATTCTACAAATAATTTTCAATGAGGGCTATCATTTATTAAAACATTATAATCTTTCAAGAAGTTTTTTAGTTTATTATAAACAAATGGGCAGATTCCAACAGAATTCTAAGGTTACGGTACATTTCGCCGAAAGGACGTTTCGCCGAAAAATAGGGCCAACATTATGCAGAATTATAAATAACTCAGGCCAGAGATTATTTTTCAGCGAAATGGCTTTTTGCGAAATGTTCCGATACCGAATTCTAATGATGAAAAAATTGAGATCAACAGGATAAAAAGCAGACGCACGTGATATTATGATTCCAGAATCTTAAGTCTAAATTAAATAAAAATAAAATGTCATACTTTATTATTTTAAGTTACTTCCAATTTCTTGTTAAACATTAGCTTGTTATGCAAGATATTTACATAATACAAATATAAAAAATAAATTTAAAAAATAAAAAAAAATTGGGTGATGTAAAATCTCGGCGATTTATTTTTAATTTTAGCACACAATCAAAAATAAATTTATTAACAAAAAATAAATAATAAGTTCAAATACCAAATCTAGAAATTAAATTTGTTCAATAAACTTGAGCAAAATAAGGAGATTAAATATAAATGTGTCTTTATCAATCTCTCATATTCAAACATATTTTAAGTTTATTACATTCTGGGCAATTTTCATAATATGTCTCAATTATGATTAATATTTTTTAGAATGTACATTTCAAATAAAAAATTATTACTATAGATTTTTAGCTCTATAGCATAAGAGTAGTATCTGCATATTATAATCAGGCTGTTTACTAGCTATTGAACGAAGGATCAAGAATACTAACATTTTTATTTAATCACTTCATTATAACTTCATTATGTATTAATTATTAGGTATATTGGTATATAAACTTTAAACTACAAATTTTAAAATACTACATCTTCTTGATTTTCTTAATCAGTAACTTTTGTTGCAATTCTAAATCCTCTTTCATAGAATGCAAAAATGAAAAATTCTATTTTCCTTTAAAATTTTTGAAATGAATCCTATAAATAAAGTTTATACGAAAAGTTTAGTTATTGTGCAAATATACAAAAGTGCTTTAATATATTTTTCAACATTATTCTTTAATATTTTTATTACCCATCTTTAATATTTTGTTGCTTGTGAATCATAGTAAAGTACTATTTCTGCAAAATTCATGATAATAAGCTTAAATCAATTTTAAAAATATTAAAATAAACTTTCAAAGGTAAAATTTAAGTTTACTTTTACTATCATTATACATAATTTAATAGTAAATAAGACCTGTAGGCACAAGATCTGCTAAACGTAGTTGCAAATAAGAAATTTATAGTCAATCCTTGATATAATGAATCCCCAGTTTTCATCTGTAAGAAGAATTTAATTGGCTGGTTCGTTATAGTGAGAGATATTTAGCGTATTTGATGTATTTGATTGGTTAAATAAGTTAAGGCAAACTGTGCTAAAGAAATTACATTAAATACATATAAAGGTAAAACTATTTTAAAATTAGCATATTACAATTTTTTAAAAATTCAGAACATAATATCAGACTTGATGATATCATTATTCCTAACCATTTGTCATTTAGTCATTTTCAGTCTAATAAATAATATAGTGCTAGCTAACATTATGAAATGACATGATGACATGATTGTGTAATGACATGTCATATGTAATTTGTCATTTGAATCATTTATCGCTTCAGGTCATTTTTATTGTTCCATTTTTAAACATTCTTTTTCAGAATAAAATAGTTAAAGTAAATTAAACTGCAACAACCATGAATAACAAAAATAATAAAAGTAAAATTTTTAGTTCAAGTTCATCGAGTTCAAGTTCTACTAGTTCATCAGATGATACACTGGATGTAGATACTAATGCTTTACAACAGCTTGCTTCCAGTTGTTTAAACAGAAACTGTGTTTGCACTCGTAGACTGACAAATGGATGTTATAATGAAATTCATTTATTACAATTTGATTCTGGACCAGACTGCATTGCTCGACTTTCACGTGATCTAACCCATCCTGTAGAAAAATTTGAAAGTGAAGTTGCAACTATGAAATATATTGCACAAAATACTAATATCAAAGTTCCAAAAGTATATGATTGGGATTGCACTGTTAATAATCCAATAAAGACTCCTTACATTCTGATGGAACGGCTACCTGGACAGCATTTATATCGAGTTTGGGATAAATTAACATTTGAAGAAAAGAAATGTATTTTAAGCCAAATGGTTGACATATTGCTCGAGTTATGGACAAAATGCCAGTTTGAAGAGATTGGATGTCTTTATATGGATTCTGTAAGTATAATATCAACTTTTTTATTTGCATATATTAATATTTATTGAATGTAATTAATTTATTCTATGAAAAATTAGGTAACATCAACCTTTCAAATAGGACCTATTATAGATCTTATGTTTTATATTGAGGGAAGAAATTCAATTCCAAGTTTTACTGGCCCTTTTAGAAGATTGCAGGAATTGGTTTATGCTTTAATTCAAAAAGAAAAATTTTTTTTTGAGATTCATGGTGCACAAGAACTTATGGAAAAGTGGAAACTGGATCATATAAAGGCAACAAGTGAAGTGGCAAATACTATAAAGAAGTTAGATTTACTTCAATCCAAGTTATCCAAAATTTTTGATGAATCAATAGATCAAAAACCGTTTGTTCTTATCCATGGTGATTTTGATGCACAAAATATACTTGTTGAGCATTCAGTTAATAATGAAATAAAAATTGTAGGCATAATTGATTGGGAATTTTCACGTACAGGAACTCTATGGAACTTATGTAAGTATCCAATTTGGATTCAAAAATCAGTAGATATAGATGTAATTGTTGGTAATCAGCCAGAGAGCTGTGAAAATCAGAAGCTAAGAGACTTTTTCTATAATGAAATGGTAACAAAATTGGGGGATATAAGTGGTCAGATGCTGAAAATAAAAGATCAAGATTTAAGAATCATAAAATTAGAGGATATGTTTACCTATATGATTCACACGTTTACAACATTACAGGGATTGCTATTAACATTCTTTAATCGTTATGGGTTAGAGGTTGATAATATTCATTTTGATGATCCTATTATAGATTTTTTCTGGGAAAATATTACTAAAGTTCAAATTCCATCTAAAGAAACTATTATGTATTTGCTATCAAAGGATGGATTGTGTTTAGATAGAAAGAAACATGTTCCTTGTTTATACATGATAGCATCTGTTTATTATGAACTTAAATCTAATGGTTATAATTTTTCTTGGAAGCAAGCTTCTACAATTGCATTTCATATGCAAGAAAGTAAAGATAAGGAAAGTTCCAATAATCCCACAGTTAGTGATGCAAATATCAGTTTAAGTGATAGTGGAGTATAATAAAACATCTGAAGTTTTTTTAGCACTAATTTTTTTTAACGTTTAATGTTCCAATTGATCTAAATATTATTGATATATGGTTGTGGTTCTTTCCCAAATGTATTAATAATGTGAGTTGATTGAGTATTTATCGATTTATTTTGAGTTTTTTTGAGAGACTGCTATAATTTCATTATGCATTTTATCTTAAAAATTTTTTTTTTTTTTTCAAACACATTTCGTTTTTATAGGGACATCGATGCATTAATTACTATGATAAGAAAACATTGATAATGATCTAATAAAATACATTATTTTTTGGAGTCTCATATTGTTCCTAATATTGAACCTAAAAGTAATATAGCACCATCAATGCTCTTTATTTGATTTTACAGATGGAAAGCAATAAAAGTAGGTGATATTTAAGTTCCCAGCATTGCTATTTATTATCATAACAATCATGATCCATATATTGTTTATTTCCTATATCATGTTGTAACTCTTGGAAAAATTATAATGATAAATGCTATTAGCCGTCCTAATATAAGTATTCCAACTTTTGAATTTTCAATAGATAAGTATGAAATATTTCAAATAATTAACATGTATTTTGGTTATACTTTTATTAATGAGCACAAAGTAACTTTATTTTTATAATATAACTTCGAGAGTTCTCTTACATGTATTCTGGTAAAATAGAAATAAGAACTTTAATATTTTTTTATATAAGTGGTATTAAAACTGGATAGGCTATGGCAATATTTTCTTGAATATTTTAGATTTAAACTTGACAGTTGTACTCGTTCTAAATTTACTACAACTTTTTGTTAATGGAATATATAAGTATATAGATTATATGTCCGCCCAACATTATATCATACTCATCTTACCGAATTCTATATATTTGATCCTCGAATATAAATACGGAAAATTAACAATAAGATAAAAATAATAATAATAAAAGAAAGATAAAGATGATCAATGAACGTCAGTAAGGTTATTATTTGCTGCCTCGAATATATTAATAAATATAGTAATAAAAAGAATTATTATTATATATGAGATCATTTATTAACGTTAATGATTAACAACCTCACGGGACTAGCTTCCATACGAAAATCTTTAAAATCGGTTAGTTACTGTACAGTATTACCTAGTAGTTTACATTAACGAAATTTTCCGTTTTTTTAAATAATTTTTAGTAAGGAGAAAACAATATTTTTTGAAAAATTTCCATTAATAAGTTTAATCATAACATATGGGCGGATTTGATTCACGGGATAAAATTGCTTTATTGCCTCATTGGTCCTTTTGCGTAATACTAAACTGATCAGCAAACACAAGATTTCACATCAGGTGAGTTGTAGATCAATTGAAAAAATTTTTTTTTTGAACTTGCCAACGTTAAAAAAAAAATATTTTAAAAAAAAACCGTGTTTTAACCCATCCGACATAGTTACAACCCATCCGACTTAAGGTATGTCAGTCTGTGAGTTGTATGAATATTTAGTGCTGGAGTTTTTTTTTATTCTATTGGCTAGTTTTCTATTTCTTTTCTTTTTTTTTCTTTTTACCATTTAGATCTAAGTTTTTTAAATAATATTGTTCTAAATTCTCCCCTTTTGCTTATATAGGTTCATTTGAGAAGACTTATTGTAAAGATATTTTGAAAGTGAATTTTTGAAAAGAGTTTGGGTGGTTATCTTTATATTTCACTATTTTTTTGTCACAAGTGTTGAGTGTTCAAAATGTTTTATGTTTCTTATTATACTTAAATTTAAAGTATTATAAATACTGTAATAGATTAAATTTATAATTTAAATATCAATTTTTTAGTTTTAACTTGAGACTCGTATACTACTTGTGTACTTTTTAAAATTAGTAATTAAATTAAAAAGAAGCGAAAGTAAAAAAAAACATTTTATTGGAGTGGCTTAGCGTTATCATATGATGTTACACTGATCTACATATCATAAATCTGGCCAAAATTATGTTAATTCCGGCCAAAATTAAAATCGTATCAAAATTGATTTTTTTTAATCACACATCTTTATGGATATCGTGCAATGCATCCTTAACTTTGCTGTGCTTGCATAATGCAAAAATTCAGCATATTTAGGTGATGAAACAAATCCGCCGATATGAATTACATAAAGTAATTAGTGATTTGTACCTTAGATTGTAAGTAATATCGCGATCGGAGTTTCCTCCAAACCAACTCAGCCAATAACAAGCCAAGAAAATTTGTGTGATCAACAAATTTGAAGCGTAAAAGCGTAAAAATTTTCTCTGAAATTTTGTAATTAAACGTTTATTTTATTTGTTAACAGTTGGAGTTTTTTTGAAGTAAACCCCTTTCTTTATTCATAATATTAAGAAGTTGTTAAAATTTATGAGAAAACTCGATATTTTGATTATTTACAGTTTTTTTTTAAAAAAAAATGAATCAAGTAGTTTGTGTAAAGAAAAAATAATTATTTTCTAATATATAATAATACTTTAGTACATGAAATTGTTAAGGGTTTGAGGGTTTAAATTAGAAAAAAAAATTTTTTCAATTTTTATTATTTATTGTATATATTAATATTAGGAAAGAAAAACACAATAAAATAAATTATTTATTAAATATTTAATATCACCGTAAATTTATGAATTTAATGATAATTTTAAACGAATTTTCATAAATTTTGATTAATGAAGCGAAATTATTTGAAATACATTTACTAATAAACTAGGTGTTATGTCAGTTATAAGTTATTGTTTCATTTAAGGTAACAAAGTTAAATTAAATCCGCAGTTAAAGAAGTCACGCGGTCATGTGCATGACATGTTGATCACCATAAAAGTTACATTTAAGGTTAATTTTTTACTTCCAATTGTATGACAAGCTCTTTTATTCTTTAACATTTTTTTTACAATGTTTTCAAATTTTTGGGCAGAGTTATCTAATGATTATGAAAAACTTCTTGAAACTGAAATAGGATATGATGTTATTATTTATGCTGGAGAAGAGCTAAATGTTAAAGAAATCCATGCTCATTCAAATATTTTATGCATTAGGTCTAAATATTTTAGTGCGGCATTTTCTACTGAATGGGCAGAAAAAAAGGATGGAAAATTTATTTTAAAGAAACCAAATATTTCGCCTTACATATTTAATATTATTCTCAGGTAAAAAAAAAATCAATGTATTTATGTTATAAAGTTTTAATAATTTCTAAAAAATATAAAAATTAATGATTATTAAATTATAAATTGAAGGTTTATTTATTGTGGAAACATTGAATTAAAAAGTTTGCAAGGACCAGATGTATTGAAATTATTGATAGCTGTAGATGAACTTGGTGTTCAACAATTAATTTCTCATATTCAAGAATATTATTTAATTGAACATCAAACTGAATTTTTATATCAAAATCCAACTGGTATTCTTGAAATTGTTTATCAGCATGAAACATTTACAGATTTATGGAATTTTTGTCTTAATACAATTTGTGAAGAACCTAAAATTTTATTTGATTCTGATAAATTTATTAATTTAAAAGCACCTTTATTAGAATTATTATTAAAGAGAGATGATTTAAATATGAATGAAATTGAAGTTTGGGAAGGTTTATTGAAATGGTGTTTTGCTCAACAACATGTGGAGAATAATCCAACTAAATGGAATAAAGATGATATTACAAAAATTAAGGGGTTATTAAGTAGATTTATTCCATTAATTGGATTCTATAATATTGAGCCAACAGATTTCTTTTACAAAATTTATATTTACAAAGACATCTTACCACAGGAATTAATTTATGATCTTTTAGAATTTCATATAGTTCCTAATATTGAACCTAAATCTAGTATAGAACCATCAAGGAAATCATATTTAAGATTTAAACTTGATTCTACTCTAATTCAATCAAAGCATATTCCTCTCTTTGCTTCATGGATTGATAAAAAAGATGCTTCACATTATGATTATAAAGATATTCCTTACGATTTTAAATTATTATATCATTCAAATCGAGAATGATGTGATGGTGAATCATTTCATAGAAATTGTGATAAAAAAGGAGCTACTATTTGGGTAGCAAGAATTCAAGGTTCAAAGCAATTAATTGGGGGATATAGTCCACTTGATTGGGAAGAGGATGAGGAAGGTGGATGGAAAACTACTACAGATAGTTTTATTTATAGTTTTGCAGATGGAAAAATTATTTCTACTGCAAAATTTGGTTATGTTAAAAATCCAAAAAGTGCTATTTATTGTTTTTATGATCAAGGCCCACATATGGGTTTTCTTTACTGTAAAAGCAATAATGACTGGAGAAATTATGATTCTAAAGCTAACTGTTATCCTAATGTAGGTATTCCAATTTCTGATTTTACGGTAGATCATTATGAAGTATTTCAAGTAATTAAAAATTAGAACATATATTGTTTATTAGGTATGGTTTGACAATTGGTAGTTATACTGATGAATTATTTATAGTAAAAAATTAATTTTATAATATTTTAAAATGCGCTAGTTATAATATTTTATTTTTTCTTACATAATGTCAATAAAGATGTGCTAGTCCTGTTGATTGAATCAGAATTTGTTTTAAATCATTTTTTGCAATAATAGGAATAAATAACTGAGCTTTATATGGATAGTTAAAATGAAATAATTGGAGGATATAACCCACTTGATTTAATGTTACAAATAGAATAACTGAATACTATCATTACTACTATGCGAACATAATAATCTAAAAATTATTGTGATGAAAAAAAAATTAAAAAATTCAGCAGATTTAAATTGGATAATTTTTAAAATAGTGTAATTTTAGGAATAATATACCCATTTTGAAGTAACCATCACCGAATACTGTCTAATCCTCGAATGCCTTACTACTAATTTATTTCAAAGAATAAATTTATAATAATCGGTAAATAATAAGTACAATAAAAAAGGAATAATTAGTGTTTTATTGGAAAAATCGGAAAGGATCTAAGGATTTCTTTATTAAAAAATCAAAAGGGAATGCTGCTTCACTCGGCGTTCTGAAATATTCGTTCCATCCTACTACTATTTCTAATAACTAAATTCCTTACTAAAGAGCTTCTTCCTAAATCCGTTGGTCTCCCTTTCCTTTTTATATTTTATTATATATACAACTGAACATTCGTTGCCGAATGACCAAATTTACTAATTAAATAATATTAGAATTTTTTATAAAATTTTATTATTATGTATTATCAAGAATAAAAAAATTCGTAACAAATGTAATTAGTGACGTCAGTAAGGATGAAGAGCCAGCCGTCCATAGCTAATTTGAACATTCTCCTGATAAATTGATTTTAAAATTATCAATAGAATGGAACGAATCATTTGTGAACACTTGCCTAAAATATGAGAGTTATTTAACTTTAACAAATATTCCAAATATTCTTACAATTGTAATTATATGTACGTTCAAATATTCATTACCCATTTAACCATACATATGTTATTTTTGGTTACTTTCTTAATATATAATATACTTACAGCCAAAATGCAATTCCTAAAATATTTTTGTTCAAATGACACTTGCCTACGTTATTTAAAGAATTTATAGAATATGGAATATAAATTATATAGATTATAGACGTAATTAGGTCATAGTCGACAGACTACAGCAAATTGCGTAGTGGAAGTGTAAAATGTAAAGGCGTGTTGTATACCGATCAAGGTTTCGAACTTCGGCAAGGGTTTTTGGTTTCGGAAGCAAGATTTTATAAACAAAACTGGCCGAAATCCGAAACTTGGCCGATTTCAGCTACAAGTATAAATAGAATAGTGTGTGAACTTTTCAAATACTTTTTTTGAACTTCCATGAATTCATTATTTGTTGATCATTACGGAATTACCTGGTTCATATATTTTTGAAAGAATGGGTAAAATGCATTCTGCAGATCGGCGAATATGAAAAATGCATTTACTTGTTAGCCAAATATGGCAAACAATCTAACTCCAAGGTTAAAATCTTGTCCTATAGAGATCTATCCTTTTAATAATAAAGATACAAGCAAATTTTTTTTTAGAATTAATATGAAATAATAACTTTAGGAAATTTAATAATAAGAAAAAACCCCTTAATCAAAAAACTCCTTAACCAAAGCTAAATATAATGCTTTCTAAAATCGCAAGTTTCTTGAAAACGGGGACAATATTTGCTTTATACATATTCATATGTATTTGCCGATCGAATTAACGCTAATTACCGTTTATAAGGTCGCAGATTAATATAAATTTAATTACGTCAATAAGCAGTATGATTACATAATGAATTTTTTACTCTGATATTCAATTTGAGCTCAACTATATTCGTACATGTTGTGTAAACAAGATAAATAAGAATAAATAAAAATGAAAGATTAGATTTCCCTTTTCGCGCTTATTTATGTAAAAGACATGATAAATTTGAAACATCCGATGTTACATGATGTAATACCTTTGTCTATAGATTTTTGTATATAAACTCAGAAATCTGGTATTGACTCTTAAAAAAATACTAAGTACAATATGAATAATATGGATAACAATTTATGTTATGACAGACAATTATTTACCATGTATTATTCTCAACCTGTTTCAACTCACTCTTTCGATATAACAACTAACGAATCACTTGATTTTGCTTCTCATAATGTAACAAATCCTGTTGTTATGCAATATCAAGAAACATTGCCAGTTATAAGTTATTTAAAATTTTATCATTTTTATGTTAATTCCTTTTATCTCATAACTTGTAAAATTATTTTACAAAATGATTCTTCTTTTGACAATTATGACCGGTATAGTCACGAGTTCTTTTATCAACATCCAAACGATCCTTCTACAAAATATCATGTTACTTGCAAATTACTTCCAAACTCTTTAATTGAAAATGTTTTGAATAATGAAATTTGTGAAATGAATTTTGATATCGAATTATTATCATTAAATCAAAAGTTCGATCTTGAACAAAGCCTGAAACAAAAACTTTTCAATCGAATGCACTGTAATAGAAATACAAATTCGTTTTGTAATGACGTTGTGAATCATGAAAAGATAACACAAACCGTTTCAATGGAAGACATTCAAAATTATAATGATAGTTATTTTCCAAGCAATGATCATACTCACCAAGATACAAATGGGTTGAAAGATAATGTCATTCGTACACAACAAGACGATTTCAATACTTTTGTACTTCAGCAAAATAATTTCGAATACCACTCATTAATTATTTATATAAATTCGCATTATTTATTATTCGCCTTTAGGATAAATAGAGTACAATATATATATTTACTTTACTAATCATCGGTAAATTATGACAAGAAAAATTAGCTTACAATTCTTTTAATCAATTTTAACATCAGTTGTTATTATTTCCTTAATTCATTTTTTTTCGTTTTCGTCATTTACATGAGGAATCATAAACTTAATTTTATCGTAATATATTAGCTTTAGTAAATATTTCTCGAGTGTTGTTATGTAATTTATTATGAATTTCTAAGATTTTAACTCAAAAAATTAATTAAGCTTTAAGATATTTATTACAAATAAAAGTTAAATCTATTAGATTTCGGCAGATCCTTATTTACTTTTTTTTTATTGAACTTTGTATTAAATTAATTCATGCATAATTTAAACTAGAAGAGAAAAAAGAAATCATCAAGGTTAAATTAAAATAAATAAAATTATAACGAAATGTAATTTTTACTTACGACGTGGGTCGAATCGACTGATCCAACTGAATCATGAATAACAATTAGTAAATATTCTTAAAAAACAATATATATATATATAGTACATACTGTATATTTATGACTTACTGTCGACGTATTTGCTTTGAAGTATATTGCGGGATAGCTTCACGAACCTTTACATAAGGTTTAGGTAGATGCCCACATTTCTTCATTAACTCCATAATAATATTATCAATCTGTAAAAAAAATTTTTGTTTTTTTTTTAAAAAAAAAAGAAATTAATATTTTCCTTTAATTACTTCAACATACCTCTTTAGTGAAAAGCGGTCCTTTTCTTCCTCCCATTTTAGCTTTTTTTCACCAAAGTGCCGCGCAGCATTGCTGCGGTTACTGCTCGGCGTGAAGCAATGTTGCTTTTTTAAGACTGTCCTCGTGAGGTGCGTCATCGGCCTTTGATTGTACAATGAAATTGTTTTAAATTTCTTTGATATTGATTATGATAAATGACGAAAAACAAAGAAAAAAGAATTAAAGAATTCTTTTATGTAATTTAAAGAATGCTTCTCACAATTACGTATTCCAATGAAATTTCCAAAAATTATTGTTTTACTAGAATTCTATTTTCCAAAGAAAATTTTATTCGTAAATTTGCATTATTAATTCATTCAGTTTATTTCCAAATAGAAAAAGTACGACACAATAGTCATAGTAAAAATAATCAAAAATATAAAAATAGTTTAGACTCACTTTGAGATCCGTTACAATTTGATTTTGTGGATGAATAATATTTATTAACTATTAAAATAAATTCTTACGATGTATAATTATCTTAAAAATACTTGTAATTTTTAATAAAAAAAGGGTATTGCTAATTTTCACTGGGTAAAATTTACCACCCCCATAAAAAAAAAACTAAATAGTAAACATTGATAAATATATTAAATAAATTTAATTGAATACTAACTGTAAAAAAAATTTGGAAATTGGTTAATAAAATTTTTTTAAATTCACAAAAAACAAAAATTTCATTTTTTCCTAAAAATTTTCTAAATAATTGACATTTTAACTTAAAAATCTTCTTTTTGACATTTATTTTTATTTAAGTTAAAAAAAAAAGTATAAACCTGGCGAATTTCCCCTGGTTAAGTTTAGTAATTTTAAAAGAAACAATATAAAGAAACATATGTTTAAATATTTCTCATTTTATAATATTTATTGTCATTTTTTTTTATTAAAATAAACGAACAAATTATTTGTAATTTTAGAAACTAAATAATAAAATTTTCTTATAATTGCATAATTTAATAATTGTAACAAAAAATAATTTTTATATGTATTAAATAGAAAAGTCTTTATTCAAGCCTTTATACTACCAAGGTTACAAAAAATTTTTCAACAAATTTTGCATTTAATATACAGGAGTATAAAAAACGCGGTTTTTATTTCCACAACAAAATAAAATAAAGAAATAGAATAGAATAAATAATAATAAAAGTATCGTATACATTTCAAGGTAAAATCATAAAATATTTTATAAAGAATATACTTTGGCATATTTAAATGAATAGTGAGTGATAAAGGTGAAATTTCACCTTTTTTTGTATTATTACATGTCGGGTTTACAAACCTAATCACATTAATAAATAGTAACTGAACCTGATTGTGAGCAAAAAAATATGGAACAAAAATATAAGCATAAATAGTTTGACTAGTCTTTTAAACTTGAGTGCACGTGATTTTCGTCTACGTTATGTTTAAGTAATATTGCTAGGGTCGTAAGCAGCTTTGGATCCACTATAGTTTTGACAGAAGCTAACTCAGAGAGTCGAAAAGTCTAGTTTTACTTGAATTGACTTAGGTTCAAGTCCCCACTCCCCATTTGATTATGTTGATTTAACATTCTTAATCTTTAAATGTTAAAATTCTATCAGAATAAAAAAGTAAAAGATTTTACATAATCGGCTAAACTATCAGATAGTCTGTTATAAATTTGATTATGTGATCATGACTTTAATGTGTGGCAGGTATGCGTATATTTTGGCCAACAAAAGTATAAATAAATAGCTTCATTTTTATTGCAATAATGATTCTTCTTAAAAATTATATCAAAAGTTATAATAACTATTATCCCCTGATCGGCACCATTTACACGATTATGCAATTGTAGTTATACCTACTGGGTAGCAAAATTTATATGTATTTATTTATCCGTTTCTAGGAAATTTTGCGGTAAAAATTAACTATTGATTATACTATAATGGACTGATTTGAAAATTTGAGTAATTTGGAAAGATTTGCATTTTCCAAATGAGAAAATCTTTCTTTTAATTTATTTGTAATCTCAATATTATTTTTCAAGTGTATTAGTAATAGTTCCGAAGCTTTTTAAAATTCAATTATTTTTTAAAATCTTTTAAAATGAAAAAAAAAACCAAGCGAAAGANACTATATTATACTCACGATATACTATAAAACACTTACTATTGTGTAAATGGCAGGGGATAAATCAATTATCTCCTGGCTAATTGGAATAGTAAAATTTTACTTAGAATCGGAACATGATCAGCCTTCGGCCGATCATTTATCCAATCCTAGTAAAATTTTACTTATTCCTAATTAGCCAGGAGATAAGTAATACTTATAAAGTTCAATAAAAATTATTCATACACTCATTATAGCATATATTTTCAACATATTATTATTCACGATATACACGATATATATAAGAGAATACCATTCCTGAATCTATCACTTTATCTTAATAAGAAATTTACGTCAGATTTTAGTACTTAAAATTATAATGACATATGGTAATATAGTTTTTTTATTTGGAATTTTTGTAAATAACTCTTAATTTTTTAATTTCAGTTGTAAGAACATGCAATTTTGAGGATACCTTCTTTTTAAAAACGAAATTGACGTTCCTTGTTGGTAATTAAGTTTTTCATTTATTTACTTTTTATCTTTTTTTTTTTGATTATTTCATTTTGCTCATTTCTTCACTTTTCTTTTTTCGTTTTTAACACCTATTCTTATTCAAGTCCTCTTTTGACTCTTTCAACAAAAGAAACAGTGAACAAATCCAAGTTCACAAAGCAAAAAAACAATCTTGTATTTTTAACCGAATATTTGTCAAATAAAAATTGGGATATCCGGATATCTGAAATAAGTTTTTTATACAAATATCATATCCAGTACTGGATGTATTAATAAATATTTTTTTTTGAACTATAATTTTCTATTTTAAAAAGTAAATACTTTATAGCAAAATGTTAATGATAAATACAAAATAATAAATTGTTTAATAAAAACGGAAATAAACAATAGATAGCTTATTCAACAAATTACAAAACTTTTACAATTATACTGCTACCTCATTCAGCACTCTAAAGTATCTAGTATCTAAGTTTATGTCTATATCAAACTACTCTGAAAGCTTTCTCTACTTGATCCTGTGGAATTTATTTCTGATTTGTCCTTAATTGACCATGCATCAAATAGTAGTTAATTTTCAACATTTTCACTAGATAATTATGAGATAATGAATTAAAGGTTTTAAGAAAAATTAGAAAGTTTTAAAATATAAACTAGAATCTATATTTGGATGAATTTGTAATTTATGAGTAGAGATTTATTATATCATAAGATTATCATATTTTTCTGATTCTTCTTTAGAAAGTGAAGTTTGATATATAATTTAAAATGAGCGACTTGTATTAGATAATTGTGGACGAGATTGTTCAATGTAAGTATTTGTTTGTTCTTGTGATAATAATGACTTATTAGCCTCTACAAATTCTTCTATATCGCTCCTAAATTGTAATATATCATCATCCATATATGCAAAGTGTTCATCATTTTCCTCATTTAATTCATAATATTTGCTAACACTTCTAAACCATTGAGTTATAATATGTTCAAGACTTACTATAGTTGGTCTATTTTCTGGCTTTCCATCCCAACATTTTTTCATTAAATCTATATAACATTTTGGAGTACCTTTTATAATTTCAGGACGTTCCCCATTACAGATATCTAAAATAAGTTGACAATTATCATATACTTTGTTACTAAACGGAGGAACACCTGATGTAAATTCCCACATTATCATTGAGAAACTATAGATATCTCTTGCTGAAGTATAGGGATCGTTTTTTAATATTTCAGGTGCCATATAAGGTAAAACTCCATAGTTTGTTTCATTTTCAGCCTGTAGTGAGTCATTTATAGGCTTACATAATCCTAAATCAATAATATATGCTTCATAATTATCTGACATTAAAATATTACCATCATGAAGATCACAATGTATGAACAAGATTTGATACATGCATCGTTTTAAGCCCCAAAATAATATTTTTTAATAATTATAATTTGTATTGCCATTCAAGTTTGACCATGTCAGATAAACATTTTCTTAAGTCTCCTTTTTTTGCATAACTCATTACTAGTATGTAATTTGAATTTTTTGGATCTTGAGTAATCCCAAAGAATTGAATGAATTTTGAAAATGATTTTTTCTGACAATTATAATGATACTTCCACTATATTATAAATAATCAAAATTATTAGTTTAATATTAAAAAAAATAAATAAATAAATAAAATAAAACAAACCATACCTCATTTATAAATTCATCAAATTTTGATGAGTCATTGAGGCTTTTAAGAATGACTTCATGATTTGATTGCCTACTCCATTGTTGCTTATCAAAATTCCAACTATTAATAGGTCCATCTAACCAAATAGCTTCATAAATAATACCAAATCCACCTTTACTAATATAATTAATATCTCTCAATCTATTATAAGGTATCCACTCCAAAACATCATAACTGTTTTTAGCATTTAGTTGTGCTTCTCGAATAAATTTATCAACAAATTCATTTTTACTTGTCCATTTTGAAAGATCTTGCTGAAATTTCTTAGTATTACATTGCTGACACCAGTAGTAATCAATAAATGGTTGTTTACATTCTTCACAAAATTTATCAATACTATGATTATTAATATTTTCTGTCACTTTTTTATACCAATAAAAGGCTTTTTCTACATTCATTTCTGTTCCTTTACCATCATAATGAAGTTTAGCTAAATTATTCATTGCAGCTATATCACCATTTTCTGCTGCTTTTTGATACCAATTAAAGGTTTTTTCTAGATTCTTTTCTGTTCCTTCTCCATTTTCATAGCATTTGGCTAAATTATTCATTGCAGCTATATCACCATTTTCTGCTGCTTTTTGAAACCAATAAAAGGCTTTTTCTAGATTCTTTCCCATTTCTTTACCATTGTAATAGTAATATGTTGCTAATCTGTAAAATGCTAGTTTGTAACCATTGTCTGCTGCTTTTTGATACAAATTAGAGGCTTTTTCCATATTCTTTTCTGTTCCTTCGCCATCTAAATAATGACTAGCTAAACAGCTTATTGCATTATAATCACCACATTCTACTGCTTTTTGATGCCAATAAAAGGCTTTTTCTAAATTTTTTTCTGTTCCTTTACCATATCTGAAACATGTAGCTAAATTGTGAAAAGCATTTGTATCACCATTCTCTGCTGCTTTTTGATGCCAATAAAAGACTTTTTCTAAATTCTTTTCTATTCCTTTACCATTGTAATAATGGTCAGCTAAACAGCTCATTGCATTTTTATCACCATTTTCTGCTGCTTTTTCATGCCAATAAAAGGCATCTTTTAGATCCTTTTCTGTTCCTTTACCATATCTGTAACGTGTAGCTAAAGTGTGTGAAGCAATCTCATTACAATTTATTGCTGCTTCTTTATACCAATAAAAGGCATCTTTTAGATTCTTTTCTGTCCCTATACCATTTTCATAGCATTTAGCTAAATTATTCATTGCATCTTTATTACCATTTTCTGCTGCTTTTTGATACCAATTAAAGGCTTCTTCTAGATTTTTTTCTATTCCTTCTCCATTGTAATAATGTGCAGCTAAACAGATCATTGCATCTTTATCACCATTTTCTACTGCTTTTTGGTGCCAATAAAAGGTTTTTTCTAAATTCCTTTCTGTTCCTTCTCCATTTTCATAGCATGTAGCTAAACTGTGAAAAGCATTTTTCTCACCATTTTCTGCTGCTTTTTGATACCAACAAAAGGCTTTTTCTAAATTCTTTTCTATTCCTTCACCATTGTAATAATGGTTAGCTAAACAGTTTATTGCAGTTTTATCACCATTTTCTGCTGCTTTTTGATGCCAATTAAAAGCTTTTTCTAGATTCTTTTCTGTTCCTTCTCCATATCTGTAACATGTAGCTAAACTGTGAAAAGCATTTTTATCACCATTTTCTGCTGATTTTTGATACCAATAAAAGGCTTGTTCTAAATTCTTTTCCGTTCCTTCACCATTGATATAATGGTTAGCTAAACTGTTTATTGCAGTTTTATCACCATTTTCTGCTGCTTTCTGATGCCAATTAAAAGCTTTTTCTAGATTCTTTTCTGTTCCTTCATTATTGTAATAATGGTTAGCTAAACACTTTATTGCAGTTTTATCACCATTTTCTACTGCTTTTTGATGCCATTTAAAAGCTTTTTCTAAGTTCTTTTTTGTTCCTTTTCCATTTTCATAGCAATGAGCTAAATAGTGCATTACGTCTGTATCACCATTTTCTGCTGCTTTTTGATACAAATAAAAGGCTTTTTCTAGGGTTTTTTCTGTTCCATTTCCATATTCATAACATTTTGATAAATTGTACATCGCATTTTTATTATCATTTTCTACTGCTTTTTGATACCAATAAAAGGTTTTTATTAGGTCCTTTTCTGTTCCTTCTCCATTTTCATAATATAAAGCTAAACCATTCATTGCATCTTTGTTACCATTTTCTGCTGCTTTTTGACACCAATAAAAGGCTTTTTTTGGATTCTTTTCTGTTCCCTCTCCATTATAATAAAGTGTAGCTAAACTATACATTGCACTATCATCACCATTTTCTGCTACTTTTTGATACCAATAAAAGGTTTTTTCTGGATTCTTTTCTTCTTCTTCTCCATTTTCATAACATTTAGTTGTATATTTATTATTATTTTCTGCTGCTTTTTGGTACCAGTAAAAGGCTTTTTCTAGATTCTTTTCTGTTCCTTCTCCAGTTATATAGCATTCAGCTAAATTATTCATTGCACTTTTATTACCATTTTCTGCTGCTATTTGAAACCAATAAAAGGCTTTTTTTAAGTTCTTTTCTGTTCCTTTACCATTGTAATAATGTATAGCTAAACAGGTTATTGCACCTTTATCACCATTTTCTACTGCTTTTTGATGCCAATTAAAAGATTTTTCTAGATTCTTTTCTGTTCCATTTCCATATTCATAGCATTTGGCTAAATTGTGCATCGCACTTTTATTACCATTTTCTGCTGCCTTTTGAAACCAATAAAAGGCTTTTTTTAGGTTCTTTTCTATTTCTTTACCATTGTAATAATTTACAGCTAAAATATACATTGCATCTTTATCACCATTTTCTGCTGCTCTTTGAAACCAATAAAAGGCTTTTTCTAGGCTCTTTTCTGTACCTTCACCTTTGTAATAAAGTATAGCTAAACCGTATGTTGCACTATCATTACCATTTTCTACTGCTTTTTGAGTCCAATAAAAGGTCTTTTTTAGATTCTTTTCTGTTCCTTCGCCATAGTAGTAAAGCATAGCTAAATTATACATTGCAGCTTTATCACCATTTTCTGCTGCTTTTTGATACCAATAAAGGGCTTTTTCTATGTTCTTTTCTGTTCCTTCTCCATTTTCATAGCATTTTGCTAAATTGTACATCGCATTTTTATTATTATTTTCTACTGCTTTTTGATACCAATAAAAGGTTTTTTCTAGGTTCTTTTCTGTTCCTTCTCCACTACTATAATATAAGGCTAAACTTTTCATTGCATCTCTATCACCATGTTCTGCTGCTTTTTGATACCAATAAAAGGCTTTTTCTAGATTCTTTATTGTTCCTTTAGCATCTTCGTAACACATGGCTATATTATTCATTGCAATTTTATCACCATTTTCTGCTGCTTTTTGAAACCAATAAAAGGCTTTTTCTAGATTTTTTTCTGTTCCTTTATCATTGTAATAATGTACAGCCAAACTGTGCATTGCATCCTTATCACCATTTTCTGCTTTTTCATGCAGATAAAACTCTTTTTCTAACAAATTAATATTATCACTTGAATCATTCATTTTAATGGAAGTTGCTATTTCAGACAAAAAGTTGCCAATTTAAAATTTATTTTTTTTGTCTATTTAATATTAAAATATTAAAAGAATCCAAATCAGGTTATTTATACTATACGAGAATTATTTTGGAAAGTTGGCGTAATATTAATATATCATGCGGACGTCCACATTAACACAATCATTGTTGCGTATTTTTTGGCGTACTTGCATAGAAATTTCCATTTCTTTCTATTGTCAATCTAATCTAATTTTTGTTAGTATGGCGAGCCGTACTAAACAAAAGTGTGCCGAATTTTACGGCAGGTGCAGGTGTCGCAGCAGGCACCTGCCGCTGCACTTGCCACAACACCTGCTGCGATACCTGTTGTATCTGCTGCACCTGCCATAAATTTGGCACACTTTTGTCTAACATGGCTCGCCATACCCCAATATAGGTAACAAGAAAAATGATCATTTCCAATTTTATATATACTTTCATTTTATTCATTTTTGTTTATTGGTAATAGGGACGTTAATCGGTTCAAATCGGCCTGAGTTTTGATATGATTATTTAAAAATAAATTTTATTCCCAGGATAGATTAACTTACTGATAAAAAGTGATAAAGTTCAATCCGAAGTCAGAAATGCTTAAAATTTGAAACCAGCCCTAGTAACGGTGGCCAGCATCGGTCCCAAGCGAATTGCCGACTTTTGAGGATTTTTTTAAAAAGTTATTAATGATGGCGTAGTATAAATATTATATTAAAAATTTAATTAAGGTATACCCATGTTCAGTTATTTTCTTTTCTGATAACCCGACTAGCCAAGTAACCCGAGTACCCGACAATTCTGACAATAAACGTGTCCACTATATTTCAAATTTTGCTGTAACCGACCGAGCCATCCCTAGTCGGGTTATTAGAAAAGTATAAATAACACGTGACATGATCCTTGCCGCAGATGATATTATTCGCAACTTCGTCTCAACCTCGGAATCTGGTTTTTTTTTGAATATACCATTCTATAATTCAAGAGTTAAAATGGAATTGTCATATCCTGGATTTCTGCTGTGTCTAACAATTCAGGTGTATTAACTAATGTTGTTGACGTCGTTCGCACGGATTAATGAAGTTAATTGTTTCATCAAAATTTTCCGTGGATTTGTTGTATAATATACACTAGCAGCTTAGATTGAAAGAGCTATCAGCAGATAGATTATTAATAGTTGTATTATTTGTGAAATTATGGTAGTTTATTTTGTGTTTGTACTATCAAAAGTATAATCATCAATTTGAATCAAAAATTTATATAATTTTGAGGTAAATGTAATTTAACTTGGGGACAATTTTGCTTATAGTATAAAAAGCAAGTTAATTATCGAAAAAAAAATCTTTACTTAAAAGCATAACTATAATAACGAATTATAGGTGGTTCAATACATTTTATTTCTTGACTAGCAATAATAAGTCGTCTTAATAATATATTTTCTAGACTTTATCATAAAATAATTTTATTATTAATTTATTATATTATTATTTAAAGTAATAACTGGGATAAGTTGGCGTGTTGATACTCTAATCCGAATTTATTAGAACAAAACCTAAATTTATTGCGTAAAAATGAGAATATAATTTTTTTTTGTGGTTTGTCGCTGTTTAAATTTTTGCATACAGATGAACAAATTATCAGAAGTCAAGGGATAACATATATCATTACAAAAAAGGTATATAGTTTATGATCAGTGAAGTTTAATAATCAGCTCTACTTCAAAGAAGTACTTTTTTTACGTCTAAGTCGGAACTACTTCCGGATGGCCCCGCAGCATTACTTGTAAGAAATAACCATAAAGGTATATTTCTTTAGCAACCAGACCATCGAAGAGATATCATAAACTTTATTTGTTAATTCTTTAATCAATTAATTGATAATTATTTTTTAGTGTTATATATATGGGCATGTTCGGAATGTGTACTTTGTGACGCAGCACTTAAAGTTAAATCTTCTCTTAAATAAAGTTATATACTTTAACCGTTCTAAAAGTTTGTGTAGAGGGTTTAGAGGATTTAACGAAAAGCTAAATTATTCAAAAATGATATTCAATGGCCAAAACAAAGTTACGTCTTAATAATTTTAAATATATTAAGCAAATCTTTTTTATTTTTTGTGATGTGAATTCATCTTTGCATAATATTATATTAATTTCTAGAGAAGCTGATATTTATAGTTTGGGTTATGTGAAACTTAGAACAGATTGTAAACCTGATTAATAATTAATCTGACAAGATTTTTGCCAGTAAATGAAAATTCAACAATCAAGACAAATATTTTTCTAAATGAACATAAAATTATAATAAGTTTATGCGAACTTAAGATTAATTTGAGACGATTATGTGACTAATTATATTAGCAACGAAATATAGGAAGTATTTCGTAGAATGTGAGTAAGGAAAGAGACGTACGTTGATATTATTCATAAAAACTATTCAAGATGGAATTTTTTTTTAGAACTCGAAATATTATTGTATAGTCATACCACAATCTTTTTTTGAGTAATATTAGAATTGTTAAGGTATTGTTGTAATAAAACTATTAGCAATAATAATTGTAAAATAATAATGATTGTATGATAATGATTATATTTACAAAAAAAGAATTTTTATGTATTATCCTACCCGGATTTTGGCAAACATGTTCGCATAAATATAGTAACATGCACATGATGTTGATCACTATAAAAAGTTTATTATTTACATTCAATTTCTTTTTTAAAGGATACTGTAAGAGATAATACGAATCTATTATCAAATTTGTCCAAAGACCATTTCGAATAATTAATTAAAGAAAGTTAGTAAACATTCACATTTTTTTTACGAGTCATTTTATTTCATTGATTTAAACAAAAAAAAAAAAAAAAAAATTCACATTACTCTTCAAATATATTTTACATACTCGCCTTTCTTTAAATGCAAAGTCCACCCCTGTAAAAAAATAATGAATGTTAGTTAATATCCTTGAATAAGAAAAAACAAAAAATTTCTATACGCCTCTAAATACACTGTTTGTTTATCGTAGACTTTTAGAACATTTTTTAAAAAAAATATAATTTTTTTGGACCATTTACAACGATCCTTTCTTCAAAACTTCAAAATCATACCAATTGCAATCATACTTTTTAAATAAATAGGATTTGCTAAGTTAAATGATACTAATTTTTTTAGTATTTTATAATTTACTAATTTCGTGAGATATGACATTTCATAACCGTTTTCAAAGGTGTAATTTTATACTATGTGAATTTTTCATATTATTTAGATTCCATAAGCCTAGTAAGATTTATTCTATTGCGTTTATGCACCATTATTTAAAGTCGGAAAATAATATCAAAATTCTAATAATACGGAAAGTTTATCTTTATTATTTTAAATTGAAAGCATTAATTTATTTCATTGCATTTTTACAATTATTAATGATAATAATTTTATTACAAACAATACCTTAACAATTCTAATATTATTATCACGTAATCATTGAGTTAAATAGTGTTGGTTAGAGATGGTTTTATGCACGTAATGCCATTACACACTGCATGATGCACATGATTGAGTAGTGCGTGATAATTATTATGTATTACATAAAGTTGCGCAAATTACATATGATTTTATTTGATTTATTTATTCATCTTCACTATCAATTTCTTCATTATTTATATCCTAATCCATTTTTAGTAAGAACTTATTACAGTTAACTAAAGAAAATTGAGTAAAAAGAAAGGTTCCGAAGTAAATTATAATTTTATCTTGTATCATTAATTATAGTATATTGTAAAGTTAAAATAAAGTTAATAAAAAATAGTATAAAATCTATTTTTGTGTACACTTTGATGCGCAATCATGAACATGCATTGTGCGTGTATAGCATGGTATCATGGCATAATCATGCACCCGTCTCTAATGTTGTTCGCTGTAATAGTTGTAAACTGGTTGAAAAACTTGTAATTAATGCATGTCATGATTTTCATATGACACTAAGTGATCAACAATTAAATTCCTTCCGGAAATTAGTGTAACTTTATGTAACTCATTTTCCGATTTCCTTATTTGGAAATCTGTATAGAATCACGTGATATAATGCGAAAAATTGATCCGTCATTATAAATCCAATGAAATGCCATAATTACGACCAACCTTAATTTAGTATCTAGCTAATCGGACAATCATTAATCGAAATGATATTATCATACTAGTGCTCCTTCAACGGTTTCCAGAATTTTCCTCTAGATAATAATTAATAAATATACTAATTAATCAAACAGCGTTTGGTCAACGATTTCAAGGTTACTTTATGTATAAGTTATTTAGTTCATATTCTAGAATTAAATCTTCGGCTATTAAAAATAATGGTAAAAGAAAGCAAAATAAATAAATCTAAAGTTTTATAAATGTGTCATTATTTTTGAATATATTTACTAAATTCACAATTTTATAACATTATTTTATATTCCAATTGTTTGATAATATCCCTATTTATAACTTATATTATAGCAAAATACTAACAAAATTTTAGATAATGAATTCAATAAACTTTGTAATGAATTTCCTTTTTAAACCATTATATTATAAAACGTCATAACTAGTGCATTTTAAATATTAATTTTTTATTATAAATTATTCATTTGTATAATTGCAAAATACAAAGCAATTATATAATGAATATTTAAATTACTCTTATTTTTTAACTACTTGAAATACTTCAAAATAATCTACTGGAAACTCAGAAGTTGGAATACCTATATCAGGATAGCAAATAGTATTATTAGCATAAGTACTCCATTTACTATTGTCTTTACAGTAAAAATAACCCATTTGTGGACCTTGACTATTAGAACAATAAATAGCATTATTTGGATATTTAACATAACCTAATTTTGCAGTAGAGATATTTTTTCCATCTGTAAAATTAAACATAAAACTATCTGTAGTAGATTTCCAAACACCATTTCCATCCCAATCAAGTGGATTATATCCTCCAATTAATTGTGTTGAACCTTGAATTTTTGCTACCCAAATAGTGGCTCCTTTATTATCACAATTTTGATGAAATGATTCAGCATTAAATCCATCCCGATTCGAATGATATAATAATTTAAAATCATAGGGAATATTTCTATTATTGTAATGTGAAAAATCTTTTTTAACGATCCATGAAATAAAAAGGGGAATATGATTTGATTGAACTAAAGTTGAATCAATTTTAAATTTTAAAATTGGTTTTCTTGATGGTGCTATATTGGTTTTAAGTTTAATATTAGGAACAATATGAAATTCCAAAAGATCATTAATTAATTCTTTTGGTAAGATTTCTTTGTAAATATAAACTTTGTAAAAGAAATCTTTAGGTTCAATATCATAAAATCTAATTAATGGAATAAACCTATGTATTAACCTCTCAATCTTTGTAATGTCATCTGTACTCCATTTAGTTGGATTATTTTCCATGTTTTGCTGAAACAAGCACCACTTCAATAAACCTTTCCAAACTTCGATTTCTTTCATATTTAAATCATCTCTTTTTAATAATAATTCTAATAAAGGTACTTTTAGATTAAAAAATTTATCAGAATCAAATAAAATTTCAGGTTCTTCACAAATTGTTTCAAGACAAAAATTCCATAAATCTGTAAATGTTTCATGCTGATAAACAACTTCAAGAATGCCAGTTGGATTTTGATATAAAAATTCAGTTTGATGTTCAATTAAATATTCTTGAATATGAGAAATTAATTGTTGAACACCAAGTTCATCTACAGCTATCAACAATTTTAATACATCTGGTCCTTGTAAATTTTTCAATTCAATGTTTCCACAATAAATAAATCTTAAAAATATAATTCAATAATTATTAATTTAATATTTTTTTAACCAGTTATTGAAACTTTATAACGTAATATGTACCTGAGAATAATATTAAATAAATGAGACGAAATATTTGGTTTCCTTAAAATAAATTTCCCATCCTTTTTTTCTGCCCATTCATTAGAAAATGCCGTACAAAAGTATTTAGACCTAATGCATAAAATACTTGAATGAGCATGGATTTCTTTAACATTCGGTTCTTCTCCAGCATAAATGACAACATCATATCCTATTTCGGTTTCAAAAAGTTTTTCATAATCATTAGATAACTCGGCCAAAAATTTTGAAGTCATTGTAAAAACTTGTAAAAGAGTTTGTCATACGATTGGAAGTAAAAATTAACCTTAAATGTCATTTTATGTTGATCACATGTCATGTACTACATGGGTAACATGACCTCGTGACTTCATTGACTGCCATATGGGGAGCATCCTTTATGACGCGCCGTACTGATCAAAAATCCAGGGTAGCTACCCGGGATGTATCCAGGATTTACCCTGGATCATCAAACGCCGTACTGTTCAAAAATCCAGGATGACCCTGGATACATCCCGGGTGATCACCCTGGATGCATCCAGGATTTACCCTGGATAGATCCCGGGTAGCTACCCTGGATGCATCCAGGGTGATCACCCGGGATTTTTGAACATTTACCCTGGATGCAAATTTTACCCTGGATGATCATTGAATTTCTACACCAGTTGTTACATATTATCGGTCACGTGATATATCACATTTGTCGTTAAAACTTCAAATTGAAATATCTCAGCCAATAAGAATTCAATTTTTATGATATTATTAGGCCAATGAGATATAAATTATCAGTTTCTAATATACAATATTTTTATTATTAAAAAAAGGTAAAAAAAATTTCCATACGATTTTGTTATATCTATTGGCATTAAAAAAAAATTGGAAAATTTTATTTTATGATACAATATTTGTCTTATATATTATACAATCATTAGAAAAAAAATTTAAAAAAAGATCTATAGTGATCTATTAATATTACTAAAAAATAAATCAAAAAATTTTATTTATGTAATATCTGTCTTATGTATTATATCGACTGTTATCATTAGAAAATAAAAAAATTTAAAAAAAAATTCTGAAAGATCTTTAATGAACTATTGGCATTATTAAAAAAAAATAGAGAATTTTTATTTATACAATATCAGTTATATGTATTATACAATTTATTGTTATTATTAGAAAAAAAAATTAAAAAAAATTTCTGTAAGATTTTGTTAGGTTTATTGGCATTATTAAAAAAAATTGGAAAATTTTAACCTATTAGAAAAAAAAAAATTTAAAAAAAAAATTCCGAAAGATCCATAACGATCTATTGTTATTATTAAAAAAAATTGAAAAGTTTTATTTATACAATATCTGCCTTATTTATTATTATACGATCTATTGTTATTAGAAGAAAAAATTTTTGAAATATTCTATTATATCTATAACGATTTATTAGCATTATTATAAAAAAAAAAATTGGAAAATTTTATTTATACAATATTGTCTTACGTATTATACCTATTATTAGAAAAAAAAATTTAAAAAAAAAATTTCTGAAAGATCTATAGCGATCTATTGGCTTTATTAAAAAAATAAATCAGAAAATTTTTATTAGAAAAAAAATTTAGAAAAAATTTCTAAAAGATTTTGTTATATCTATTGACATTATTAGAAAATTTTATTTCCTTATTTATTATTATACGATCTATTGTTATTAGAAAAAAAAATTTAGGAAAAATTACTGAAATATTTTATTATATCTATAAGACTATTAAGACTATAACGATCTATTGGCACTATTATAAAAAAAAAAATTGGAAAATTTTATTTATACAATATTGTCTTACGTATTATACCTATTATTAGAAAAAAAAAATTAAAAAAAAATTTCTGAAAGTTCTATAGCGATCTATTGGCATTATTGAAAAAAAAAATTGGAAAATTTTATTGTACAATATCATCTTACGTATTATACCTATTATTAGAAAAAAAAAATTTAAAAAAAAAATTTCTGAAAGATCTATAGCGATCTATTGGTATTATTAAAAAAATAAATCAGAAAATTTTATTAGGAAAAAAATTTAGAAAAATGTCTGAAAGATTTCGTTATATCTATTGACATTATTAGAAAATTTTATTTATATCTGCCTTATATTATACGATCTATTGTTATTAGAAAAAAAATTTAGGTAAAATTTTCGAAATATTTTATTATATCTATAACGATCTATTGGCATAAACATTTTTATATTAAAATACTTAAACACTTAAATTTTTATATATTATTATTGATAAAAAACGTTGCGAAACGTTTTTTTCTAAGTATAAACGTTTTTTTTATAGTGTTTCAATATAAAAAAACGTTTCGCAACATTTTCTTATATTATTATTGATAAAAAACGTTGCAAAACGTTTTTTTCTAAGTGTTTTAATATATAAAAAACATTTTGCAAATATTTTTTATATCATTATTGATGAAAAGCGTTGTACAAAATATTGCTTGAGTTATCCTATAAACTAATAATTAGAAACTAATAATTTATATTTTATTGGCTTCATTTTTGCTTAGATGAATCTAATGGTGATATAAGAATGATTATATCACAAAAATTGAATCCTCATTGGCTAAGACGAGCAATGTGATATATCACGTGACAGATAATATGTAACGACTCGTGTAGAAATTCAATGATCATCCAGGGTAATGTTTGCATCCAGGGTAAATTTTCAAAATCCCGGGTGATCACCCTGGATGCATCCAGGGTAACTACCCGGGATCTATCCAGGGTCAATCCTGGATTTTTGAACAGTACGGCGTTTGTTAATCCAGGGTAGATCCTGGATACATCCCGGGTAGCTACCCTGGATGCATCCAGGGTGGCCACCCGGGATTTTTGAACAGTATGGCGCATTATAATCCTTATCCTGGGCCACGGTCCAGATGCTTATCCTGGACCAGCAAATCTAATTGGATAAGATTGGTTTGTGTAACATTTGCCTTAAGAAAAAACAATTCGCGTTTTTTTAAAAAAAAGTTATGAAATGCCTTTTTTTAAAAGCATTTAATACTACCGTTTTAAAGTAATATGTTATTTAAAATTTGTATTTTGGTATGCATTTTATTAAACTTTATTAATAAATAAGTAAAATTGCATATATAACTTTATAAAAAAGGTCTTTACATTATTTTTTACTGTAATTTTATTATTAAAATTATTTTAATGTTAATATCAAAACAAAAGTACGAAGTAATATTATATTAGCTTTAAAAGTAATGTTATAAATGTGTAATTTACTTAACCCCAAAACTTAAAAAAAAAAACACTTGATTTCCAGAATAATATTAATATATCATAAAACTTCTTCAAAAAGAAAATAAAAAACATTTAGCATTATCATAAAACTACAATAAATACAATTAAAATTAAAATATACAAGCTTAAATGAAATATGAAATACTAAGTACTAACATACCACAAAAAGAATAGAGAAAGAGTGAAAGATAGGAAGAGTGAGAGATAAAATAAATTATGCCGGAGCTATGTAATAAAAGTGCTAGTAATTAGCCAATCAAAAGTTGACTGGTCCAGAATAAGCATCTGGACCGGTGGATCAGGTTAAGGATGGCCCCATATGGGAAATTTCATATCAGGTGAGTTCGCAGATCAATTTTATATTGATGTTAAAAAGAATGATTGAATGAAAAATGAAAAATGAAATAATTAATAATAACAATTTATTTAACTTAAGGTATGCCAGTTGTATAAGTACTAGTTATGACCAAGTAGGGTTTTCCTATTTTAGTAAAAAAATTTGTCCTAAATACTTTTTTCTCATTGTGAAGTATGAAATCTAGTTTTTGTAGTTTGAGAAATATTTTATTGGCATTTAGAAATAATTCAGATGATAAACTTGTAAATTTATTAATACAGCCTGAAGCAATCCCATAAATTAAATTTAATCCATGAACTTAGTAGGTAAATTGAATAGCTGATGATAGCTCATCGGATATTCATGAATCAATATAGTATCATACTAATATCTGGAGTTCTATAAATATATCATTATTTTTGAGTATATTTACTAAATCCTCAATTTTATAACTTGATTTTATGTTACAATTGTTAAAAACTTATAATAATACACCAATTTATATTATAGCAAAACAACAATGTTTTTAAATAATGGTTATATATAACAAAAATTCATATCAAATTTCATTTAAATACTAGATTACTATTATAAATTATTAATTGCCAAGTGCCAAGAAATTATATAAACATATCATTTATTTACGTAATAATTTATATTGAATATTTAAATTTTATCTCTATTTTTTAATTACTTGAAATACTTCATAACAATCTACTGAAAAATCAGAAGTTGGGATACCTACATCAGGGTAACAAATAGTATTATCACTATAAGTTTGCCATTTATTATGGCCTTTACATTTAAAATAACCCATATGTAAACCTTGATTATTAGTACAAAAAATAGCATGAGGTGGTTTTTTAACGTAACCTAATTTTGCAGTAGAAAAATTTTTTCCATCTGTAAAACTAAATATAAAACTATCTCTAGTACTTTTCCAACCATTTCCATTCCAGTCAAGTGGATTATATCCTCCAATTAATTGTGTTGAATCTTGAATTTTTGCTACCCAAATAGTAGCTCCTTTATTATCACAATTTTGATGAAATGATTCAGTATTAAATCCATCCCGACTTGAATGATATAATAATTTAAATTCATAGGGAATTTCATTTTTGTTAAAGGAATCTTTTCTATCAATCCATGAAGCAAAAAGATGAATATGGTTTGATTGAATTAGGGTTGAATCAATTTTAAAATTTAAATTTGGTTTTCTTGAAGGTACTACACTAGTTTTAGGTTTTATGTCAGGAACAATATAAAATTCCAAAAGATCATGGATTAAATCTTTTGGTAAGATTTCTTTGTAAATATAAACTTTGTAAAAAAAGTCTGTAGGTTCAATATCATAAAATCTAATTAATGGAATAAACCTATGTAATGACCTCTCAATCTTTATAATATCATCATTACTCCATTTAGTTGGATTATTTTCCATATTTTGTTGAAACAAGCACCATTTCAATAAACCTTCCCAAACTTCAATTTCGTTCATATCTAAATCATCTCTTTTTAATAATAATTCCAATAAAGGTGCTTTCAAATTAATAAATTTATCAGAATCAAATAAAATTTTAGGTTTTTCGCAAATTTTTTCAAGACAAAAATTCCATAAATCTGTAAATGTCT